GCCACCTATTCAGTCAAATCTTTGAGTTATTAAATCAGACATCCTACGTGATTTCTTATTGGCCATACTCGGAAAACTTTAAAATTTTTCAAAGTCAAAGTCCTGGCCAGATCATGTTGGAGAGGTGATTAAATATATTTAAATTTAAATAATTTGTTCCTTTCCATATCATATTTTTCTCTTAGATTTTGAATTGAGAGCCGTCAGATAATCTCATTAACCCTGTCCGAATAAGAATGTCCCTTAAGATCACATAACCTAGGAGTGATAGCATAACTTTTACGACTGTTTTAAAAAGGTCGGATGGCATAATTGACTTACAATTGTCTTTTCTATCTGGTTGAATTCATTGCATTGACAGGCAATCCTACTGCAATAGTTCAATCGTAGATATGAAGATCAAGACTTCGATCAAAACAGAGGCCACAACATTTTCATCTTCAAATCTACGATAGATTTTATTAAAATATTTTTCTAAACCTAGCATTTCGTATTATCTAAATGTATCTATATATTTTCTGTTATTTGTAAGTTGTGTGTACTGTCACTTTAATGAGATCTTGGAGGTTATATAAGAGGAAGACCCAAGTCTGATGATGTCTGCCTTAAATAAGTTCTCCTGGAATGCGTCAAACTGGAAGTCATAGTAAAATTAAATGACCTTTACACTTTCACACGAAATGTGTCTACAGACATTTTGCAAATGGAGTGGTCTGACTTCGTTTTCGCAATTTGAACGTGTTGTCAGGGCGACTTGATTGGATGTACCTTGTCCGCAGTCCTCTCATAATTCGTAACGTCGGATCGTGGCCTGATGCGTTACCAGTTGTTTCACCGGGACCGTGAGAACGTACCAATTCCATGCTCCGACGCCGAGAATTATGATAACTACTATAGCAGAGGGCGTCGACCAAGGTGCGTTCAACAAAGTCGCCCTGACAACACGACCAAGTTGCGAAAACGAGATCAGACGACTTTTATACATCGAAACGAGACTGCAACCACAACATCTTAGGCTTTGCAACTTTCAAAATTCATCCTCAGCAAACCATACGATGTCTTACTTCACTTGAGAATATAGGACCGAGCCTGGCATCGATACCATCACCACCACATATCTGATTTGTATCCTTGTGTATTACTCTCGTGCCTAAAGAGTGAGTAATGTGTTCATGCCAGAAAATGACCGCGATCTCAAGTAAATCTTGTGCTTTATTGGATGCAGCTCCTTCTCTGGATCCTGAAAGCCACCTGTTCCTTAAATGGTCATTCTTGGTCTCGAATGGAACTTTGCGAGGATGGCCAAGGAGGCTGTTTGACCGGCGTAACAGTCCTTATCGGGCACAACATAAACAAGCCCCTCACGTCTACATGCTCTTCTTGCTCTTCTGCTGTTCGCCCCCACTCTTCTGGCTGCTGTCTCAAACACAGCTTCCATCCCCTAGAACCTTCCTTCACGTGGTTGAACAAGTCGAAATGTCACCCTCATCTTTGCCTCCACACCACAAAGTCATAACAGCCTGACAGCAGCTCTCGGCATGATTATCCCCACTTTTGCCCCCGGGTACACAATAACCACACACCAAACCGCTCAAACACATTCATACATACATACATACATACATACATACATACATACATACATACATACATACATACATACATA